AGCTGTGAGTTGGCTGAAGCTGCTGGGGTTTCACCATAACAGAACTCCAGGCTGCAGGCTACGACCGCATAGCGCCTACCTGTGGCTAGCTAGTAACAAAAGGCTCTAGCTAGCTAGCTAGCTAGCTATCCGGCTAGCTAACGAGCTAGCCAGCTAGGTAGCCAGATAGCTACCCAGCTAGTTACCTAGCTAGCCAGATAGCTAACCAGCTAGCCAGCTACGTATCCAGATAGCTAATCAGCTAATTAGCTAGCTAGTCAGATAACTAACCAGCTAGCTAGCTAGTTAGCTAGCTAACCAGCTAGCTAGCTATCTAACTAGCTAGCTAGCTATCTAACTAGCCAGCTGTGAACAGAGACGTACCTCCTAACATATCTATGGGTTACATCCCTCAGCTCCCCCGCTGCATCCACAGCCAAAATGAAGCGAACTGCTGCGCGGCCTTGCTGCTCCAACGCAGACACCAGCGGCTGCTGCTGCTGCTGCTGCTGCTGTTGTTGTTGCTGCTGCTGCTGCTGCTGAGTCTTTAAGAGAATGGAGAAGCCCGATCCAGACTGCTGCAGAGTGCTGCTGCTGCTGCTGCTGAGTCTTTAAGAGAATGGAGAAGCCCGATCCAGACTGCTGCAGAGTTTGATGCCCCACAGAAGCAGCAGACTCTTTCGGCGCCAGGGTGTCTGTAGCTGTCTCTTCGTGCATCGGTTGCTGCTGTTGCTGCTGCTGCGGAAGGGATTGTTGGTGTTGCTGCTGCTTCTGCTGCTGCTTCAGAGGAGGCTGCTGCCGCTGCAGCAGGCCTCCCCTCCCCTGTCTCCGGGCACGAAGAAAATCTAACCCCAAAAGTTCACCGCAATTTGTTGGCCCTGCAGCCCTGCGTTTATTGCTGCTGCTGCTGCTGCTGCTGCTGCCCCGGGTTGCATTGCCGGGACGCCCTACAGACTGTGTCAGGCCTCGCTTCCTGCTGCTGCTGCTGCTGCTACTTTGCTTCCATGCAGCAGCAAATTCATCAGCAATAAGCGCTGCCTCCTCTGCTATTTCGTGCGGCGCTGCGGTGGTGTCGCGCAGACTGCTGCTGCTGCTGCTGCTGCTGCTACTGCTGCAGCTGCTGCTACTGTTG